TTTGATGGATATCTCGTCGTTATAAGTTATAAAATAACTGAATCCCCCTCATAATTAATAAACAATGTAAATGAATATCCCATTGGTATGCATATATAGACACATAACAGAATGAAATACTTTTCACTAGTACGAACCGAAGTTAAAAATCTTTACACTGATATTGTTCAATATAGAATTAGATAATAATCTAACAATTTCTACTTTTGAACTTCATCTCAAAATGATGGACAAGAGATATGAGCTTCACACGTTCTTGAAGGATAAAAGCACAAAAACCATCCAGCATATAGATAATCTGGATGCTTCCTTGTCCATTGAAATTCATTAACATATGAACACCTGTTCACAGAAAAAAAAAACCAACATCAGTCCAAGCATAAACATAAAAGTAGCAACTTCCTGCAATACACATAAGCCACAAACATAAACTTAAAACTTCTTGCTGCTCACATGTCACAAGAGGCCACAACTTAGTAAAGCAAGTTAGCTCATCCATAGTCACATGTATCCTAGGGAAGACATGTTTAATCAAAAAGTGTGCATTCATAATCTGCACACCCGTATATACTCGATGTCCTGATTACTATTAGTATATTTCTAATGAAATCAAGGGATCCTATTAGTCAAAACTTGGTTCATCTCTATTAGGCATTATTTAACATGTATTGAAAAGGATCAAAATTTCAAAGAGAGCCAGATTAGTTGAGAAAATAAAAACAAACCTGATTATATATATTGATTATGGTTGTCATGTGGTCGGTGCAACGAACTCCAAGTAGTTTGTTGGAGCATGACCATTTCTCTCAAGCTCCTTAACTCAACCATATAATTAGACTCCATGTTATTTAAACGATGAAATAGTGCTTCCTTCTCAGCTGCAATAACTGCCTTTTCAGCTTCAAGGGCTCCATTTTTCTCTTCTAGAGCAGCCTTTTCTTCCTCACTGCGTTGAAGTTGAGCCTCAACCTCTGGATTCTTTTCATTTCTTGGTGTCCTTAAATCCTTTGGTGTTATCCCACTTCCATATCCAAGTATACCACCATGCTTTTGTGGCCCAAAGCATTTCTCCACCAGATCTAAACCATTAATTCCAGGATTCTGATGCATGGTTTCAATAAGTTCTGCCTATATAAAAGTACAAAACATTATATTAGCTTCATATATACAAGTTTAGGTTGTGTAGTACATAAAAGAAAACTCAGTGTACCTCTTTTCGAGCTGACTTGGGATCAATTGCTCCTCCTTTTTGACGGGAGCACGAGAAAACTTTTGTGAAACTTGGCATGTTTCCTTCTTTGTCTGTCTGTATAAATTAAACGAATGTTATTTGCTCGCAGCCATTGTCTATTACAGTTTCACCAGTAAGACAGAAAAATGCAGCATGCCGTGTATGGGTGTTCATATGCTAGCTCATCTCATAAGACGTGAACCCAGGTGAAAAGAAAGCAAAACTAATAAACAATATAAAATAGGAGTGCAAAAGAGTAAACAGAACAACAAAAGCAGACAACAAGAATAAAGGCTTATCACAACCATCCTTGTGTTTCCTCTCAATCTTGATTCACACAGATACTGCTATCTTTAGTGAGTGAAATTAAAATTATAGTAGGTAAATACTAAGTGAATGAAATACCATTTGATATGTGAGCTCTCCAATAGACATGCTTCCAAGATGACAAGGCATTGATCCTTGAGCTCTATTATTTGCATTTCTAACACTTATTTTCTACAAGTAAAACAGTAAGTCATTAGATATAACAATGACAAAGCTTATTAAAGTTTAGTCATATGGTTTACCTTAAACTCCTCAGTCAAGTAATGTTCTGTCACCAACCATTCCCAGTCATCTTTTTGTATACCACAAGGCACATTTTCAATAGCATCTTCCAAGGATTGGCAAGGTTTTACATACTTCAGATTGAGGTCGGACCTATAGTTGGTCCATGCCTTGACCATCTTCTTGAAGATATGACCCCTATAAGCCTCCATTTCAGGGTTTGTAAACTTCTCCTGCATAAAAGTGAGAGTTATGCATTTCCCAGCATATTAATGACTAAATAAAATATGATCCCTATATCAGATTAGTTACTAACTCAAATTTCATTGATACAAACAAAATAATAATAATGGTTTAAGTAAATTACCTTCACAGCTGCCCACAAATGATCTTCAACATCATTTCCCATTTCTCCCCAACTATGAACACGAACTGGGCAAATGGTATTATCAGTTACCAATTTACCCAAATACCTCGTGAATTCATTGCGATTCACCCCAACAGGACCGTTGAGGAAGAACACTATTGACAACTTCTCTCCGGCTTTGAGTTTACCTACACGTTTACACTTGTTTTTGCTTCGCACTTTTTTCTTTTTGACCACTTCAGGTTCTGCATAATAAATCAAAGCAGAGTATGAAATTTACACAGTGCACTTGTTATATATATAGCTTTACCATGAACAATGGCAAGGTACATCTAACTGTTGTACCATTAGAAGCATGTAAATGTTTTATTATTGCTATTATCATTCTGGGATGTTTACGAGACCATTGAATCACAATGTAACTAAATCTTACTTAGGAAAAAACTGACACAGTAGACATAATATTGTGGAGCATTTTCTAGCCATTTCCACAAGTTTGAGTAGTTATGTACTTTTAATAACTTGAGGCTTTTACTGAAAGAATATTAACTATACTAACCAGTAAAATCTTGTTGTATGAGTGGTTCACCACTTTCTGGTCCATCTGCTCCTTCACCATACATGAAAAATTCATCTTCATTGTTCCCAGCAATAGGCTCAGTGTCTACTGAAAATATAACATGAGAGAAAATTAGTCCCATCATAAATAAAGATAAGATGATATAGATTTGCTAATGTAAGAGAGAACTCTGTACTTGAGTTCAAACCTGAAGATGTCCTTGCACCATGTGCTCTTCTAGACGAAACTCTGCTATCCATGGTTCGATGATTGATAGCACCATCCGTTGAAATTATATTTTCAAATGACTGCCTCTTTCTTACATTTTTCCTCAAAGCACTTGGTTGAATGAATCTCACATTGTTCCTTTTAGAAGCATCAAAAACCTTGTTTGACTTCATTTTTACCTACACTCAAAGTATCCCCAACATAAGGCCACTACAAGCAAACAATTAATACATAACTTTAGTATATAAAGGTAAAAAACCTAACCATTATACCAATGTGTACAACAAAGAATTATGTATTTAAACTATATGAAAACAACAGAACAAATTGTGTTTTTGTGTATAGAGGCTCAAACCCTTTTCTCCCATTTTTTCCTACACAGCTCTCAACATCTCAGCTCTCCTCAACTGAACTACCAATTCAATTGAACACCAGCCGTTTGGATGACTCAGTAATCTGACCCATAAAAGAATTACACGGGTATGCAACAACACGAAACAAAAACCGGCAAATCACAATGATGTGGAAAAATGAATGCCATGGAAAGCAAAGTTGATGAATACGTATGCAAACTGAAGAACTAGCAGAGTCTAGGCCTTGTAAAAAGCAAGCTTCCCACTTACATGGATGAAAGCCAAGCACATGTGCAAACTGAACTAACTGAAGGTGAAAAGAATAAAGAATTAAGCCAATTTGTCGTATCTTTTACGGATCAGTTTCTAGGGGTAAATGAAGCTAAAGCATTAGCATGTTCAAATGATACGTTAATCAATAGTGGTAACATTAGCTGGCCGTATTGAGAAACTAGGTGAGAGAATGCTATGCCTATTTTAGCTTTAACTTCAGGAAGTTCGACTGGGGAACAACAACTTGTGCGAATACATTAACCTAGTCCGCATAAACCAGATTGTAAAAGACAACCTAATCATTAGACCGCTACATACAACAACAACAAAATTAACAGCAAAATGCGTTAGAGAACATGATTTGGAAAATGAGTTGAGGCTGATTCTTTTCATTAGAGAAAGAAAGAGTGAAAATCCCTAGCATAAAGACGAAACCCTAAAACTAGAAAATACAGTGAGTTGGCAAAGAAATAATACCAGAGGAAGGAATGTGTGAGCAGCGGGTTGAAGAGCTGCACTGTCGATGATGTTGCTAGGCGAAGATGGGAGAAGATGAAGAAACGAGGTAGGAAAGCTTTTTCTTCTGGAAGCCAGTGAGATTTGGTAAAGTTAGAGAGCTTTAATACCTTATATTATTTTAACAATTATCTAGGCGGGCTTTTTCGATTGAAAATCTGAAAGTGAAAAGCAACCCGCCAAGCCGAAATAAGTAGGCGGGCTTTCCAAATTTTCAGTGAATGTCATCACGACGGTATAGGCCCATCGTTATAGTGTCTTGGGTTAATAACGAGGGTAATTCTTAGACAATAACGAGGGGAAAGAGTAGACCCTCATTAATAATCAAGTCTCAATTAAAGAGTGTCTTTTAATGACCGTTTTCTATACCATCGTCAATTTTTCCTCTCGTTAAAGACTCTTTTTTTTGTAGTGCTTGACTCTTAAAAATGTATTCTTAAAGCTCAAATCTCCACTTAAATACTTGACTGACACGGGGATCAATCACTAGCTAGTCCGGTTGCCAGCTCATACGTATGAGAAGCCCTTCAGGCTTTCCTTCCTTCCACCATTCTCAAGCGCATATCTGATGCTCATCTTAAATGTCTCAAGAGCATATTGCTGCTCTATCTGAAAATCTCAAATGGCAAATGACTGGCGCTAGTGACTAAAAACACTTAAAACGACTTCACCTTCTTGAAGGTGAGTTACTTCTTAAAAAGAACTTGTTTCTTTAACTTTAATAATCACTCATAACATAAAGCTTTAAGGTAATTAAATAACACACATTCACTTCAAATCATAGCTTAACCAAAGCACATACCATCAAACATAATCATGCAATCTCAAACATGAATCAAATACTGTACACGCATCACGTAAATCAATACTTGAAAAACCGTAAGGCGTAGAATTTACCCCTTTACACTCACCTCAACATTCATGTCGTCTGGCTTGAACTAACCATACCATGAGACTACCACTTCTGGATTCTGCTGGCTCGGTCGCCTCCATTTGGTCACATATCTTTAGCTTGTTTACGTAGCCACTCAAACTACCCATCCCTTCATGGCCAAGCAAACCAAATATCACTACCCATATGCACCATACAAGCCGCCCACTTGTGGCTTTCATCATCTCCACTCTACATAGTCAATTAAGTTGTAGAATCATTCATTACTAACCTATGATCATCATGGGTAGCAGAACCACGCGAACCAATTCTTACACAAGGGTTTCAACTTCATGGTCCTTCAATTATCAACAAGGACACATGGAGTTACGCTTCCATCCCCATGAAAGAGGACAAAGTCGTCATATAAACATCATTAAAGCATAATCACAACCGAGAAATTTTACAATGCTATATAGTATTGGTGCTATAGGATTTTGTCTTTATGGTACAACTTAAAATTGTACATTTACGTTATGGTACAACTTCAGATTGTACCTATACTTTTTGTACAAATTCCTTTATGGTACAACTTGAACTTGTACCTTTATGTGATGGTACAACTTCAAGTTGTAAAGTTGTACCATAACATAATGATACAAATTGCTTTATGGTACAACCTAAACTTATACATTTAATGTTATGGTACAACTTTAAGTTGTACATTAAAGCACCAATACTATATAGCATAGTAGAAGTGCTCAATCACAACCACCATAATCATATATCCCAGTGTCATTTTCATTTTTGGACATGTTCAGCTCATAATCTCTTTGCCCGAGACCCCTTGGCCCCTTCCAATATAACAATCTCTAATAGACGCTAGTGGCGAGTAAGGAGAAGCGGTCATTACCTAATTGGGGAGTCCGCTGCATCATGCGGATCCATCGTCGAACCCTGGTCACCGCGAGGTGCGTTGCGCTCCCACTCTTGACTTTTCTTCTTCCCACGGTTGCCAGCTCAATTCCCCGAGCAAGGCTTCACCGACAATCATAGCTAAAAATTCCCCTACCACGTCTTTTTGCTCTCCCCAGCTCCGGCGGCGGTCCTCTTGTTGAGAGGTTGTGGTGAAACTGACGATGAATATTGAGAGATGAGGGTTTTGTGGGGAATGTGGGCCGCTCGGCCCCATGCCCCTCCCTATAAATATATATTTGTTTTTTATTAACAATAATAATTGTTATTATTTTTATTATTACTAATCCACGATTGCAACCTTTAGTATGTAATCGTCGATCCAATCGTTCGGTCAAACCTAAACCCGAAGGTCGAAGTGTTACATTTCCTCCACCCTTATAAAAATTTCGTCCCCGAAATTTGCTCGGAATTCATCCTCCCGTCAACACCCTTCTTAATCTTCCTTCCCACGATCATTTATTCTTACCATAGCAACTTCGTTGGTAACCTTTGGTCATATACATTTTCTTAGCTTGTAGCACTCGTATAACCTTGAGTGACTCACTGTCCTTTTCGTTTCATAACTTGACTCAAAAGTGATGAACAAAATGCCGACTTGACTGGACATGTTGATCCAATTCACCTAATAGTTGTTATTGAACCTAAACCCGAAATCGAGATATCACATTTTCACCCCACTTAAATAAATTTCGCCCTCGAAATTTGTCCATTGTGATTACATCATACCTCGTTTGGGGTAATCCTCTATACTTTGAGGAAATGTATTTTTTTTTAACCTGTATGACATGTCATATAAATCCCTCCCTCCGTTCATTGGCTCATGCATGTTGTGGTGGATTCTTAACCCCTCACACCGCATATGCACTTAAAACTCATGTCGGACACCCACTATCCCTATTATTCGGTACATACGCAATTAATGCCCCTCTCGAACCCTAAGGTTACTGATGGTGGCTTAACCTCCTTCTTATTAGATCGTAAAACTCTTCTAACGTAATTCTCGTCCGTGGTTGACCACATCGATCACCTAGGTCCTTGTATCTCCTAACTTGTATATCTTACTTTCTTCCTCGATACTTCATTTTATTCTTTAACCATAAACTGAATGGTCATCTCCTCGTTACTTCTTTCTTAACGCCGAAACCTCATACTACTGCTTTTATTTTCTGTATGCATCAGAGGCATCCATTGTATCGCATTCCTAACTTGCGTTCAAATTAATGCTTCTTTCAAGAATCATGACATTCCTTGGCTTGCTTGTTCACCACTGACCGCCTAACTTAATACTCCCTTATTGTCGCTTGAATTTGCAGTTCTCATAGTATCTTTATGTTATTCTTAGAACTTAACTGAAATTCCTCTCATGATACTTCTAGAATAGTGCTCGCTATTTGAGATGGTCTCTTTGTCTATCTAATAAGACTTGCAAATTTTATCATGGTATCCAAACTCTAGCCCCACCTGTCCATTCAAGAATTCGACCACCTCCTCACCATTTAAAACGGTTCTGACTCCATTTGAGTGCATCCAAATATCTTCTCTAAATACATGTCCCTTGCTTCTTTACTCGCAACCCTTCTTCGTGATGTTTCTTGTCCTCGACGTTGACCTCTAGGTTCTTATAGTCTCTTCTCACTTATGTACTTTGACCTATAAGGTTTCTCCTTTTGACTATTCTCGATGACCATGATTCCACCTTTAATTTGACCAATCAGTTCCAAATTTCTCGATGGACTTACTATGGATCAGTTGTTCTCCACTGGCAGTCAACCTAAAGCGTCCTTGTTGTCTTCTATATTCCTGTTTTGACCTTTCCTAGCTATCTTCCTAGATGCATACATCCCCCTTTTCGATGACCACCATTTTCTTTCTTTTACGTCCTATGGTGTCCTCCTTGCTTCTTTACTTTTACTGACCTTCTGTTGTTGCTTCGTACTATATTTGGTCACCAACCTCTGTTGAGTATCTTCTCGTTTTGCTTGGGTCAAAGCTTCCAATAGAGGGTTTCCCTTTGTATGCTTTAACATACCTCATTCACGTCATTTGTCTCGATTGATGCCTGTATATGGCCTTGATCTCTTAGTCTGAGTTCTTAGTGGCTTAACTGAACGTGTCTTACTTATCCTTAACTAGCCGCTTCCTCTGGATGACATCCTATTATGCCGTTCCCACTCAGAGTGGGGCACCTTGGATAAGGTAACTTAATGATTTCCTCCTTCTTGGTAATGCTTTTCCTCGTCCTACTCCACTATGCAGTTTCTTGAATTCGAGTCACCTACACATATTCTCAATCCTTCATCAGAACTTCCATGTGCTTCCTCGAATTCTATGCCATTCACTAGAACATTTATTGAACGTTCCACTTAATTGTCTATACTCAGTTGGATTAATGACTTAATCCTATAGCTAGTTTCGAGACTTCAGCTCTTAGCCCCCTATTTCCAACTTACTATTGAGGTTCCTCCTTCTGTCACCTCTCATGTACCCTAGATGGCTAGGTGCTCCCTCCTTTCAGGATAGGACAACCACACAAAAGATCATCGCGAACTCTTGCATTCCCCTTTCAATGGTACCAACAACTTCCGGACCTTTCGTGATCTGAGTAGTTTGTAGGGTCTGTCATATCCCAATCCATCCTCTTTCTAGATCGGCATTGTTCACTAGAACATTATTATTCTTGATCCAAGCTCATCCTCTACCTCGATTATCTTGATGTTTGTCTTTTAACTCCCTAGTGTCATGTACCCTTTTCACTACTGATGTAGTTTATCTATAAGGGTTCCTTTATCGTCATATGTAAACGACCATGCCTCCTCGCCGCCTTGCCCTTTTGACTTCTTGACGTCCTTTCATACTCCATGTAACCTACTTATTTCCTCCTTTGCTTCATTTATACTAACATAGCTTGTCTTAATGTCTAAGCTTTCCACTACTCCTGGTCACTGTGTTGTAATATCGTCGAGCCATCGACGACTAAAACTAGTTGAGGGACGTCTCGTGGTACCTCTTCATTTCTTCCTCGCCACTACTTAGGACCAAAGACCCTGACATCCTCCTATTATCATAGCTACTGGCATCTGGTGATTGTAGCTCTTCCTTCGGAGATTCATATTTCTCCCCTTTGTTTGTCTTATCTTATTAGATCTTCCACTTGTCTCCAAGTAGTAAAATCCTCGTACTCCTTCAAAATCCTCGATGTATTCCTTTTCAATTGGCACCTCTTTGCTGGTGTTTGGAGTTGAATTCCTCGCACTTTTGATTCTACCTCCACAGACCTTTGCAACGTTCCTCCTTCCTTCTCTAGGTTGATAATGATGATCTGTTTGATAACGTCCGAGTAGTTGGTAAACTAATTCAAGAACTAATGTCCATCATGTCGACTAGATACTTGATCTTGAGAGCCTTTGAGATTCTACTTGGGTTGGTCATGTTTCTTACATCCTTTCTTTCTTACTAACGATCGTCATATTCCTAGATCTCTCATTTGACAAACCACGACGTGTTAACTAAATCGTCTCCTAGCTTATTCTTAAACCAATCGCACCCTCGCGCTACCATTCCGTCATGTCGCACCTTCATAGCTATTCACCTTATTATGATTAGAGTAGACTGGAGATTCCGTTAACTCTTAAAAGAAAACCCTTGACTCATTTTCCAATCCATTTAATAAAAAGCCTTTAAAACTTAGACTGATATTCTAGTATTCCTTGGAGACCAATGAACAGAGGAAAACCGACTCTAATACCAAAAATAAACACCTTAACCCGGCCGGTTACTACTTTTACTAAAATTCCCTTGCAAGAGGTTATGCAATACTCGACCGAAGGAACGAAGTAGCTCGACCGATAGGGAGTGATAAATAAAATACTCAAATCTTAAATTGCAGCTGAAAAAATTTTACTAAATAAAATACATAAAACACGCACTTGTAGTTAAGAGCAACGCCCTAACACATGGGCAAACTCAATACTTAAAAACTCAAAATGATCTCCATTCTATACTCATAATCATAAATATAAATAACTAATAATCTCTAATGTTGTTGCTACTGAAAACCTTGAATAAGCATCCTCCGTCACACTTATACTGCTCTCCTCTAGTTGGCTGCCCTCGCACTCGCTGCTCACTAACTGCTCCTCTAACTCCTCTAGCTCTTCAAACTGGTGAGTGAAATGGGGTCAGTCTCTACGCCCTTACGTTTAACATCTTATTAATACTTGATTACTTTACTTAACTTAGTGGAAGTTGTTTTGTACTTCCACTATTAAAAATCTTGACTCTTAAAACTGTATTCTTAAAGCTCAAATCTCCACTTAAATACTTTACTAACACGGTGATCCCTCACTAGCTAGTCCGGTTGCTAACTCATACGTATGAGAAGCCCTCCAGGCTTTCCTTGAACTTAAACTTATCGTGGAAGGCTCGTCTTCCACGATTCTCAAGAGCATATCTAATGCTCATCTTAAATGTCTCAAGAGCGTAACTGTTGCTCATCTTAAAAGTCTCAAGAGCATACTGCTGCTCTATCTGAAAATCTCAAATGGCAACGGACTGGCGCTAGTGACTAAAAACACTTAAAACGACTTCACCTTCTTGAAGGTGAGTTTCTTCTTAAAAAGAACTTGTTTCTTAAACTTTAACAATCACTCATAACGTAAAGCTTTAAGGTAATTAAATAACACACATTCACTTCAAATCATAGCTTAACCAAAGCACATACCATCAAACATAATCATGCAATCTCAAACATGAACCAAATACTGCACATACATCACGTAAATCAATACTTGAAAGTACTTAAGGCAAATACTTGAAAAACCATAAGGCATATAATTTACCCCCATTTTCCAGCTCAATTCCCTGAGCAAGGCTCCACCGACAATCATACCTAAAAAACTGAATCGCTATTCGTCGTCCTAAAATTTAAAAAACATCACCCTAAACCACACTAAATTGACACATCTACCCCTAATCCAATTCTAACGTAAACCCTAGCAAACAACCTCCCCCCTCAACCCCAAGG